CCCAGGTTTTTATATAGGTACTAAAGAGTTTTTATAGAATATAGACTTCTTGAGTGATCTAAAAAGCAAAATGAATACTTGGTACCCAGAGTACCGAAAAAGTGACCCCAGAACTCCCTTTTATGCCCTACTACTTCTATACAGTCAAAGGCAATTTAAGTGCAACAATTCAATGTTAGCTTTAATCTGCAAAGTTTCCTAACATCACAATTCACCCAAGAGACTTGTATAATTTAATACAGAAATATAAAAGAATGGATTATGAAGAAAATTATGCTGTGAAACTTCTAAAACACCTACTTATTAAAAAAGCCAAAGAACCTAGATAGAAAGTGTTTTGGGAACTCCATCAAGAGACAAATAGTCTGGATAAATTATTTTGGATATCACCAGACCAAGTTCAATGATGGATTACCTATCATGACGTTATACTAAATAATAATACTTATAAAACCAATCAGTATAATATGACCCTTTCTCTATTTGTAGCAGTTGACAACCATTTTCATACCCATCTCATCGCACAAGCTTTAGTGAACTATGAGACAAAAGAAACATATGAATGGCTCCTCCTCTCTACTTTAAAAGCTACTAATCATGTTCCATGAGTCTTTATCACTGATGCTAATTCTGGTATGAATACCACCGTAGACAGTCAATATAGTGACACATATCCTCTTCATTGCCTTTTTTATATTTCACAAAATCTTACTCGCAACCTCAAGGCTCCTCTCAGTAATACTTACAATGATTTTTTAAAAGATTTTTATGCATGTTGAAATGCACTTTCTCATGCAGACTTTGAATCACTTATTGCAAAATATCCAAAAGCTGTTGACTATCTTAACTTTGAACTCTATCGTAGTAAAGAAAGGTGGGCTAAAGCATATACAACTAAATTTTTTACTGCTAGTATTACATCTATGTTATGAGTTGAAGGAGAAAATTCCGTAATTAAAAATATACTTCAAGGCCGACCTAGCCTATGTGAACTTGCTAATATTTTAGATATGCGATTATGTGATAAAGCATGATATATTAATTACACTAAATGAAACTATGCTAATGCAAGTGCACAATTGAGTGGTGCATTTGCAGAATGTTTTTCTCAAATAGATTGTGTTCTTGAATAATATCTAACAGAAGAGATACTTTCACAACAGAGGCATGAAATTACTCAATTGCTTTATTATTATTTTAAAATAAGTAGCAACGAATTACCTGATAACAAACCTAATGTAGAAGAGTATGATTCACAAAAAATTCATTTAATCTCTCTTTTAGCTTCAAATAATATTATTAAGATATATGAGGTTCAACAACACAATTGCTCTCATAAAAACTTCATTACTATTTTTACTGATCGCTCACATTTATATACATGCATACTATTAATTAACTATTGCTTAATATGTCAGCATTTTTAGCATATATTGGCTATTAATAACGCTGCATTTTTTCATATAACTTTAATACCTATATGGTGGTATAAAAATGAAAAAATGCATAATTTAGACTTGGACGAACAACTCTACATAAATACTTGTACAATAGAACCAAATGAAGACTACTTATCTTGTCCAAAGGTTTTTCCTATGTAGCAAATTATTAAGCTACGTGGAGATGATGTTTTTAGTCCTGAAGTTCGTCATGCTGTTCAAAAGCAACATGACTATGGAGAAACATTTAATCTTGCTCAAAAGGCAGTTCAAAATGCAGTTGAATCAGGTGGTGATTCTTTTTACTGCCTTAAAAGAAGTCTTAATAATTGGTTTGCTAAAGAAAAAAGACTATCTTATATAAGAGATGATGATCAAGAAAACTTTGACCCCAGTCAAGTTGAAAATCTGATTAAAAAACAGCATAGAAGGCGATCTTCAACTAAGTGATTGAAAAGCAGTATTGAATTACCATAAACCAAAATTAAAACTTCAAGTAACAAACCTGCAAAAAATAAATGTAGCAAATGTGGAGCCATTTGACATTATGCACCAACTTGCAATAAATAAGTATAGAAGCTTATTATAGAGATAAAAATGAATGATAGTATAATTGAATTATTGTATTAGAGTTAAAGAAAAAATTAGTAATCTTTAAATAGGATAAGTAT